AGGTTATGTATAGTGTGCATATATTAATTTGGATAATAATTAAGGTCATAGTTTCTTTATCTGATTTTTGGTGAACATAAAATACTAATCAATATGAAGTATTCTTAATTACTTAAAAGTTGTATTTATAGGAGTTATTTAAGTAAATGTTCATCCTATAGATTTCATGCAATACGTACATAGAATTAGTTGATGGGTCAACAAGAGCCACCACACTCCTTTTTTTTTTCCCACCCGGTTCACCCTTTGGGTTAATCCGGATTCGAGGATCAGTTCTGGGTGGTTAGGTTCCAGTCCCCTCCCAATTGTTGTTGCGGGGGATCGAACACGCGGTCCTTCCAACCAAGTGTAGCCCCAATCACCACTACACCAGCAACCAATTGGTAGCCACCACACTCTCTAATAAAACTTAAAATCATTTGTAAATACTAAATTATTTACAAATTTACAATACTTTTAGCTTAATACAATATTGGGCCACCTTAAACTAGATCAGTTTCATCATATTATTTCGTCCAACGTACTAATTCAAAGGTCTTAATTATTAACCCTATAGTCAATTCAAACGTACATATATAGTCTTCAATCAATTCTATGTATAGGATTTAAAAAAAGAAACTCGCATTCCTTATTTATGGCATTTTAGATCTTCTTGAGTAAAAAAACTCTAAGGTTGTAGACTTGTAGTAGGACATTTAATTTTAGGTCAAAGCTCTTAAATTTTGACTAATATTTAAATTATCACATTAATAAGGTAGTCTAATACTTACTTGAAGGGGATGAACGACTGCAAATGGTGATTAAAATAATAAAAAGATCACTCCTATGATCAATTGATCACTATGATTGTTTTAGAAATGAGTCAATGACTAGCAGCAATGCTTAATTTCTTAAAAGATGATATGATCACCTTCTTAGGTGATATTTATATAAACTCTCCCTATTAAGCAATAGCCGAACCTTTTTATTATCGTCGGTTCCTTAATAATTGATATATACTTCGAAAAATAGCAACAGATCACTAATATTTTTATGAATAAAAAATATTATCTCACCTACATTGCTTAATTATGAACCATTTGATAAAATCAACTCATTCAATTCAACTATTTCTTAATTAAACTTTGTGTTCATCGAAATGTACGAAGTATCAGTTTATTATGAAATAGAAGAGGTAGATTATTTTATGTTGGATCTTGCTAACGGACGTATTCGGGGCGAAAGATTAGCACTTAAAATATTTCCTAAAGTAGTATTAATTTGGAAATGCATGATAAAATTACGCGTTAATCGGTGTAATTAATGTTTATTTTAATTTAATATTTCTATTTTTAGTTACTTTATCCAACGCCCCGAAACGTTCGTTAGCTTTTTCCTTTTATGTTTTTATTTTAAAATGACGTTTAATCAGTTATTATGAAATGGAACAAGTAAGAATGTAATACGAGTATGGGTCAAAAAAAGAATGTAATACGAGTAACAGTAAAAGTAAAAACGTATTAATAACCCTATAGTTCATCGAAACGTATTAAGTGCTCGTGTGGTTCACGTGGGAATTTATATTTTATGGGAAATTTTTTCCCTTATGATTTTCCTAGGAATTAAGCTAAATTGTTTGGTTGACACTATAGGAAATTGCATTCCCTAAGAAATTCAACTCACAAAGGGGAGTTGGTGAGTAATTTCCCATGGGTTGTGGGAATTTGTATTTTCCTTAAAATTGCTATTTCTCATGTTTAGCTTATTTCCCTTCAACCAAACACATCTTCTTTTTAATACTTTCTAGAAAATTTAATTTTAAAAGAGATTATTTTCCAACCAAACAACACCTAATAATTCGAGTGGGAATACACAGACACACAGTGACAGAGTAGAGCTTCCATTCCATACAGTAGTACTGAGCTGACATGGGCGTAAATGAGAATCAAAAAAATTCATCAAGCGGTCCTCACGACCTATAATTTCTCCACGTGTACAGCTTCAATTCGCAGAGACGGCGCGTGACAGTTTACGGGCCCTACTTCGGTGGTCCATTAGTTTTGCAAGCGCCGCGTGTCCCCTTCTTATCAGCTTCCACGTCGTTGTTCCGCGAGTGACGGAGAGTACCAACGAAATTTGTGGACCCTGGAGAGTTTTTTTTTTTTTTTTTTTTTTTTTTTTTTTTATTTACACTACCTTCGCTTTTTTTAAGTGTGACAAACGGATTACATAGAGTAGTAGTCCGTTACTTGTAAACACTATTTCAAGAATTGGGTGTTGTATTTGACTTGATTAAACTGTTCCGTAGTTTTTGACGTTAACATAGTAATTGTATGTTTTATGTTCTTTGATTTTTATTTGTGTAATTTAGCTAAAATTATCTAAATTTATTAAAACTTATTTTTATTATAATTTTTGAACTTAATTAACTCTTTTTAATATTGAAATATTAATGAAATATGGAGTATTAAATATTAAAGAAAATTACGAGGACTTGGAACAATATAGTCTTAACTTATTTTTGACAATTATTACATCCATTTTTAATTTGCAATATATCTAGCCTCTTCTAATTAATATTGGGTATTTGGGAGAGAAAGGGAGCTAGTAGCTTTGTTGTCGTTAGTTGCAATGAAATTAAGATTGTTTGTTACTCGTAAGGTAAACATTGAAACGACACCCAATTCTTGAAAAAATGATTTAAATTTGTAATAATGCAACTACAATGAATTACACCGTCGATCTTATCACTTCAAATCTTAAACATTTGCTTCTAAAAAGGCTCTTGATGTGACTTCAAGTGATTCAATCCATGCTAAACCTCCAAATACGAGGGCCCAAATGTCTTTCTTGTGTGGTCATTTTTAAGGTTTAATATTTAATAAAATCCAAAACTTCAATTTTAATTTAGTTTAACAATGCTTAATAATCATGCTTGATGCTACCCTCCTTTTACTTTCACTAGCAAACGCACTTATATCAAATAATAGGGAGTAGCTTTGCGGTATATGCGTTAAATCCATTACTATACATCATAATGCATGCACAGTATAATGGCATTTCACAATTTCATTTCACTTATATTTTGCTAAAGATGCAATTCTTCTTGGCGTAACATTAGATCAACAATCTTTGAAAGGTTGTGACGACTTAGCTTATATTATTGATGTAGTTTAATTTAGATATGATGATTATTATGAGTTTTGATTGAAGATTTTTATCCCATTCGATTAGGGATATTATGAATACAATACTCAAGAGCCATGACAATGATGTAGCATTGTGGCCGAAATTCACTTGCAGTGAAAATGTAAGACCTTAGCTTAATCGGTTAATTGATTATATATATTGCAAACGTACGAGCTACTTATAACCTGCACCAACAATCACACAAGTTGGCCTTGACGGCCGGGTGTGTCAAAGGCTTGGCTCATGCCTAAGTTAGCTGGTGAGCAAAGAGTGACACAACCATGTCATCATTGCAATCAATTCATTAAGGTCTTCCTGTTTCGATTCATTAAATCAACCAAAGTGATTGGTTTTAATTAGTTAAAAATAGTCGATATTAGACAATTTTATACAGGGAAATAAAGCGACAGAGTACGTAATTTGAAGTGAGAGGTATTGGATTCAAGGATTAGTAATCTATTGTTTTTTTTTTTTAAAAAAAAAAAAAGATAATAGGTAAGTGTCATGCATGATAAATCAAATGTTATGCATGATTTAATTAGTTTTATTAGTTCAACCTCTTAAGTTAAATGTGACCAATATATATTTAGGGGCAAAACATGTAAAATACTGATGCACAACGTATGAGTAGAGTTATGATGAATGATCACTCTAACAGTAGTAGTATAAGATATTTATTCTCCTCTAGGTCGTATTCACCAAAAAGTTGAATTATTCATCATTATCTAATTAGTAAAAGTGTCTGCTTATGAATCTATGCTACACTTGATTTAGAAGTTTAAACCAAAGGAAGAAGTAATAATCCTAGTATTATGACTCACGATCTTCATTACTAACAACATAATGCATTCTACTATTTATCTTTTTCAAAGTAAACTACGGAGTACTACAGTATATTTTATGTATATTATTTTGGGTTTAATTAATTAGTTTGCTTTTATTAATTAATTGTCACACATCTATGTATTACGTAACTAATTTATCATTAACGAATCCAATTAAGATATTCAAGAGAAAAATAATGTTGCTCTCACATGTATATGTATCATCAGTGACCAAATTTGACTAAGAAGATAAAATCTAAATACATATAATTAAGTAACTTGAAATTACAAAAGGGAAACTTACAATGATGTGAAATGGATCTTAACTTCATATAATTTGATATTTTAGTAAATGACAAATAATATTTAGCCACAATAATGGACAGTGACTTACTTACTAGATATAACTTGGGCATGGACAATGCTGTTACAAATTTCCCAATACCACCATATAGTATGCCACAAGCTATTGCATGCCAATGCCATGCATAATTACAAAGTAAGCTAATTTCCCATAATCACTCATTCGAGGTATTTCAAACTAACACTCTTTCGTTAAGTTACTTCGTAGTACTCCGTACATTTATACTCTAAAAATAAATATTCAAGTGCAGTAATTATAAATAATCTATCTCAACTAAAGAAATTCGTTAAATGATTAATCCGTACAAATTATTTACCACACACAAACAATAGTTGAGATTATTTATCGACAATAGTCGAATATTATCCCCCCAGGCCCCTACCATTGAAGTAGTAGTAGACTATTAGTAATCCTACTGGGCTACTACTTGTAGTGAATAAAAAACCTGTGCCTAAAAAGAAAATTAAAAATATGTCAAAAACGACATGGAAACGACAATATATCCACGTTGTCTCTCATATTACCTTTCGATCAAATTAAATAAAATCAACGACCCAGTATTTTCCAATTTAAAATGGTCCCCCCAAATAATAATAAAATTAAATATTTCCATTATAATTTAATTTCGGCGGCTTTCTTTTTTCTTTTTATAATTTAAAAAAAAAAAAAAAAACAAAAACTTTTCTCATTATCACCTTCTCTTCTCCCACCATTTTCCCGACCAATTTTCTCTCTCCTCTCTCTGAAACTCCCTCCTTCTTCCTCACCTTATATTATACGATTACAATAGTTTTTATATTATATACTCCTATTATATTAATATAGTAATGGACCGTCTCTTATAAATATAATCTTTCCCTCCATTTTTTATTTTATTTTCAATTTTACCTTTTTCTGAAATTCAAAAAATGGCGTATCATCACAACCACCACCTCTCTCAGTCGGAAATGGCGGCACAATTCACCGGACAACAACAAAACATGTCGGCGCACCACCAACAACAACACCACCACCATCAACGACAACAACAGCAACAGCAACTTCACCAACCAAACTGGCTAACCTCGGCAATCCTCTGCTCATCAGGCGGCGGCGGTTCCGGCGGCGGAGCAAGTAAATTCTTAAACCTTCACTCAGTAGATGACTCAGCAGGGATGTCGGCGATTCCGACACAACCAGGTGAGTTGACTCACAATGAGGAGACAGGGAAACCGGAGATCGGAGACGGCGAGATTTCTGTCGGCGCCGGAAACAGAGGCGGTGGTGGGGGAGATAGAGGTGAGCAAGTGAATTGGCAGAATGCAAAGTTTAAGGCGGAGATATTAGGGCATCCGCTTTACGAGCAGTTGTTAGCGGCGCATGTTGCGTGTTTGAGGATCGCAACTCCGGTGGACCAGATACCGAGGATTGGTGCGCAGCTTGATCAGTCGCAGAACGTCGTGGCCAAGTATTCTGCTCTTGGAAGTGGTCATAGTATGGTCGGGGATGATAAAGAATTGGACCAATTCATGGTATATAATTTTTGATTTGTTTTATATTATTATTATCAATTTGTTGTTGTTGCTTAATTTTTGGTTAATTATGGTATGAATTGAATTATTTTGGAGTTAGATTGGAGAGTAATCCTTGTTAGATTACATTACATAATGATTTTCGGAATGATTTTAGGAAATATATGGATTATGGAGTATAATTTGATATGTTGGAGTGGTGTTTGGTTGATTGTTAGGTTTTATTTGATAAATTAAAACGGGGTCATGCTTGACTTGATAGGTTATTAAATCTTTTAGTTTTGGGTTTTGTATGATTTCAAGTTTTCACCTTGAAATTCTTAAGAAAAAAAAAGCTAGTTTTTTTTTTGATAGAATTAAATGTTTTTTTTTAAAAAATCTATTTCCTTAGTGGTGTTGATTTGAGTAGGATAAGATTGCGGACATCTGGACCTTTGTAATGAAGAGTGGTGACGGATTTTTGTTGGATGTGAATTTTTTTCCTCTATGTGGGTCCAGGGAAGACATAAAGATGTGTTCAACATTCATCACCGAGGGGGATTCGAACTTGGGACCTAAACAATAAACACCTATTACTCGTAGAGTCGTAGTAAGTATGGCATTTGGAGTCATAAAGACATTATAGGATATGTAGGAAGAGGAGTTTTTGGTGACATATGTTGGGAGAAGGTGCCATGTTGATTGAATTGAAACAAGCTTGAATAATTTCAAAAAAGGGTTTTGGGAGGGTGGGTTTATGGAATTCAATATTTAGGAAAGAAGAAGGTGGGTTGCTTTTTGGCATTTAGCAATCTTAGCTATCGTTATGCATTTGTTTTTTACCTCATCCCAATGGAAATCCTGTTGTTTCAGCCTTTTGGAAGGAAGATAGATACAAAGATTCTTCTAATGTCAACTTTTCTATTGGGGGAATAAGCAATTTGGTTTCTTCTTTTTTATTTAAGTCTTCAAATTGCATGTATTACTCAAACTTGTACAGTTGTATGTTGGTTTTGCATTATTCTAATTTGTACTTTGTATGACTTTGATCAGAAACTTCTTAATAGTTTATACTAATCCAAAATTCCATGTCTCAAATCACATTGATTCTAATGTTTTTCAATTTTTCAGAATCCCGGCAAAGTTTGCGGCATCTTATTAGTATGCAGTGATAAATTACCTTTTATTCTAGGGTAAAAAAGAACTTGTGTGCAAAGATGATTCTTCTCATGAAATATTTGGTTTTCCTCGAGCATTGCCAACCTTAGTGAAAGAGGTGGAGGGGATAGTCCTAATTCTTAATAGCAATGTTCTAATGTGTACCAGTTGAGACGGATTGCCAATTCTCAATGTCAATGATTATTTTACTTGTTTATAACACTTTAAAGATGGTACTGACATATTGAAGTGTGTGAGTACTTAGTAGTATAATCATTTTATCAAGCTCATGGTATGAGTGTATGACATTTTGTGGCGTGTAGTTTATAAATCTTCGATCTTCATTATTATGTTGAGGGATAGTTTGAGTGAAATTTATTAAGGATGGATGCAATGCTACTACTGGTAACATGGACAAAATTTTCACTTAACTGTTTAAGGAATAAGGCTTTGATCATGATGATGCTGAGGAAAAATGTGAAAGTGGTATATTACTTTTTATTTGGGTGGGAAACATGTTATGGTGGCATGGAACTTTTTTCATGTCAGAATTCTTTGGTTAAACTAGTAAGTATAATAAACTGGTCAAATGGATGTTCATCATATGTGAGTTTGTGATTTGAAAAATACTGTAGTGTTGTAATATTTCAATCACCCGCAAGATGTTACAGCATATTTACTGGGGTTTTTTTACTCTCGATTTGGAAAAGGAAAGATATGAATAGTATAGGAACTAATTGTGCTGGCAGTAACACATCGTTACACCAGTTATAGTATTGTTTTCTACTTAATGTATTTTCTTTCCTCGGTGGATCAGATCAATCTTGAGTTTCTTGACAGATTATAATTACATTTCTTACTGCATTAGTAGCTATGATACAGTTGAGATGCAGACACTCATCATGATAGAAAATCTAGTTTCTCATGGTGTGATTATGTTTTAACAGTATGTAATTTCCAACAATTTCTTGTGTTACCCATATTCGAAGATTTTCCCACATGGTTTTCCTGGCTATAATTACCGATTTTTACAACTACTTCTTCCCCTTCTCTATGAAAATACAACCTGAGATTGCTTTGGTGATGGAACAAGTTATATACTAGAGGGCGGTTATTGATTGCTGATATCTTACGTTTATGTTATTTCATCTTGGTTGACACTGTAGACACAGTATGTTCTGTTGCTGTGTTCCTTTAAAGAACAACTACAACAACATGTTCGTGTCCATGCAATGGAAGCTGTGATGGCATGCTGGGAAATTGAGCAATCTCTTCAAAGCTTGACAGGTGCATATACCTTTCCCATAAACCTTAAAACCCCTCTGCATTGGTGTGAGCAAGTGCTTGATTCTAGCTTGAAAATGATCACAGGACCACTTCCCACTGTCATGTTTGTGTTAGTCTGGTCTGGTCTGGATCTCCGTTTTCACAATTCTTGCAATTGCTGGACTTTGAAAGTAACCAAGTGAAATTGAATTTTTTTTTTAAAATGACATTCTGAAAGATGTTTACCTTCTTCTTTACCATCTTCTGAGGGCATCTTAGGGTGAAGTTATTATGTTACTGCCTTCGATGAAGGTGATGTATAGCAAAAAATTAGGAACTTATCTTTTGGGTCATGAAATATATGCCTCAACTTTCTGTCCAAGTGATAGGAGGAAAAAAAAAATTGGTTCAGTTTGTTGACGCCAGGATAGCATACTGATGTTGGTAATTTGTGCTCTCCTGTGTGCAGGAGTCTCTCCCGGTGAAGGCACAGGGGCTACTATGTCTGATGATGAAGATGATCCCATAGAAAGTGATAGTAACTTGTTCGATGGAGGTTTGGACGGTGCAGACACCATGGGGTTTGGACCCCTCATCCCAACTGAGAGTGAACGATCACTGATGGAGCGTGTGAGACAAGAGCTGAAGCATGAGCTAAAACAGGCAAGCCACATTGTTGCACATAAGGGCATAAACTAGGCTATTTCTTGTGCAAGTCACTAATATGTTTTTTCTTCTTTTCTAAAAGGGCTACAAGGACAAGATTGTGGATATAAGAGAAGAAATCTTGCGCAAAAGAAGAGCAGGAAAACTCCCTGGTGACACCACTTCTGTCTTAAAGGCTTGGTGGCAATCACATTCTAAGTGGCCATACCCAACGGTAAGCTATTTGGGATCGAAAATGTTTTTACCATCATGGGAGCTGTAGTTTCTTGTATGCTATACTAGGCATTTGGACTTGATTAAATTGTTTTAATACTTGGGAACTTTTAGAATCATGTCATGCATCACTTTTGCTTAATGGTAAAATCTCATTTCATTGATTAGTTTCATTGTGGCTTGTGAGTAGAGAAATTTTACTAATGTAAATGTATATGTAGCTTATATACGCATATCTATACAGTTAGAGTATAATCTTCTATATATGTATACAGAAAGATGCTTCGTAATTGCGTTGCTGTAGTCTGTATGATATGCTGGGGTGTATTTGGCCACTGTTACAAAAATGCTTTTCTTCCATTCAACTTCTGTCATATAAGGAACAAAAATACTGATCTAAATAATATATGCAGGAGGAAGACAAGGTGAGGTTGGTACAGGAGACAGGTCTGCAGCTAAAGCAGATCAACAATTGGTTCATCAATCAAAGAAAGAGGAACTGGCATAGTAATCCTTCAAGCTCTAGTGCATTGAAGAGTAAACGCAAAAGGTATTTCAATTTATTTTCTAATCCCTCTGTACATTATAAATATCCTCCTTCTCAAGCTTTGAACCTAACAGGATAAATGTAATTAATATAGGTAAAACTGCGGCAATTGTTTCATATAGATGAAGAACAATGGTGGCAAGCATCTGTATTTTGTACCTCTTTAACATAATTCTACGACACTGGCATTGAACGTGGGACAGCTTTCTGTGATATGAGAGGAAGTGGAGAAACCCTGCTAATGAAAGTGGCAAAGAATCCTTCAATTTCGAGAGATGCATATGAGCAGAAGATGAATGGTCCTGTATACTGAATTATCCACAAGGATATATCCTTATCAGTAGGAAGAATTGCTGAATTATAGGAAAATGTATATCTCAGATAAAATTGCAGAAGAGTCACCATTTCTGGTGATTCTATATTTTTGTAACCTTTATATAGTAATTTGAATCAAACGCTTATGAAGTTGTGGATGTACAGATTAAGTAGTTTGTTTCCTATTTCACTCCATATAATGCAATTATGAAATCCTTTTTAAATTTTTTTTGAAAGAAAGTTCCCAAGGAGGAACTCGAATATCATTACTTGACTGCAAATCGTTTAGCAAAAGATTACACACATCAATGCTGAATGAATGAGAAAGAAGTAATTAGAGGCTAAGATTTATTATTTAATCTGAATGAATGAGAATCAGATTACAGCAGGGAAGAGATATTTATACTAAGCTCAATTCATTACAAAACCAATGCTTACATAACCAACTATATAACAGACTAAGTTTGTTACATCTAACAGAAGTTGATCCCTTGATGATCCTGATCATGAGGACGAGGAAGAGGAGGATGGGGAGGCACAAAATCCTTTCACCCTGTTGGGTTAGTGTGGCCCAAATTACATAGCCCAACTTATTTCTCAAAATTTCTAGAAAATTCTCGTATATTGAGAAATTGATAGAGAATTGTGGAACAATCTAGAATTTGGTTAATGGTCATGATGATTCTAGATTTATATGGAGAATTTTAGAGCATGTGTAAAATTTTCCACACACTTCTTCCACCTCCATACATCACCTATAAATAGCGGTGTTGGCATTATTTGGGAACACGTATCCACCTACATATCCTCCATTACTCTAATGCTATGCACTTTATGAGTGTCCCTCCATACATTATTTATGTTTAGAGAGAATTTACCTACAAATGACGTTCTCTAAGATAGCATGATTGGAGTTTCTACATACACACAATCTCCCTAATCCACTATTCCTATTTTTGTACTACTCCTTTGTGAGTTCTTTTAGTGATAGTTTTCTTGTACTACTTACCATTTCAAAGGTTCTTGTACTCTCCTATTTTCATATAATGAATTATTTTTCAACGCTCGTCGTTCTTGGGTTTTTTTTTATATAATTTTTCTCACGTTAAATATTGCGTGTCTATTTTTACTAATTGTCTTACCTGTATGTATCTTTCTCCAAATTATTTATCAATTGCTACATCTTTAATTTGCTTCTGTTGTGCTTATAGATAAATCTTTAATTTGCTACATCTTCAAAGGTTCTTGTACTCTCTTTTTTTCATATAATGAATTATTTTTCAACGCTCGTCGTTCTTGGGTTTTTTTTTTTATATAATTTTTCCCACGTTAAATATTGCGTGTCTATTTTTACTACTTGTCTTACCTGTATGTATCTTTCTCCAAATTATTTATCAATTGCTACATATTTTTGTCGAACAACTACACAGAAAATTTCTATTACTGGAATTATAGATAAATGTTGCGGACTTGTGGAAGCGTAATTTTCTTTTAAATTGAGCTTATCACTGCATGTTGAATTCTGCAAATTAGTAGAATTTCATCAAGTGCTTGGTGAACTAAGTAAGCAGACTTTAGAGAGAGACAAAAATTAGAGAGAAAAACCAAAGGATTAAAGAAAGAGTGTTAGTTCATAATTAAAATGAGGAAATTACCTAAGATTTTTGACGCACAACTCCAATAAATTGCTATTGCTGGAATAATAGAGAATTGTTGCATAAGCTTAGTTTTTTTCTTGATCAAACTTATCACTACATGTTGAATTCTGCAATGTAGAGTTCTTGATGAACTTGTAAGCACAATTTCGAGAGAAAAGCACAAATTAGAGAGAGAAATCAAAGGATTAAGGGGAGTGTTGAAGTTCATATTATGATCATAACAATTCGAGAGAGAAAATTGGGGAAGAAGATGAGTTTCTGTATTGAATCAATGATTATAATTACAGTAGAAATACAAGTATCTATGCAAGAGTTTGTTATGATGATAACAAACTTATACGTTACATATTTTCTAACTGCTAAGTAGGAGTTGAGCTAGATTTTTGCAAGAGGAAATCCAAGTTACTCAATATGAGTAGCAAAATATGTTACTTAAAGGGTACTATTGTCTTTTCTATACTACCATTCAACCTTTTCTCTCTTCACTCTTCTTCAATTCTACCTCAAGTCCTCAACCATAGCGCTGCACCCCGACCTTACTTCTTCACCACCCCAACCACCATCATCTCTCCGCCGAACACATCACAACAACCACCACCATCATCACTTCTTCGCCCATCTTCGAAAATTAAGCTCAATTGAGAGAGCTTCAATGGAGGACATGGTCACCCCTTCCTTTTGGGGGTTGACCATGCCCTTAATTTCACCCTTCATTTATAGGGTTTTCGTTTTGTTCTGATGTGGGTGGAGATTGGGGGAGGTAGGTGGAGATCGGGGAAGGTGAAGATGGGGAAGCTTTCGTTTTGTTCCGCCGCGGCATTGTGGTCTTGAGAAAGGACGAAAAAGAGGAGGTCGACGGGGGAAGAAGAAGATCAGAGGTTGACAGGGGAAGAAGAAGATCAGAGGTCGACGGGGAAGAAGAATATCGACTTGAGAGATGGTGGCTGTGATGATGGTGGTGGTTGTGGTGATGGGAAGGAAAAAGGAGGAAGAAGGATGAGTCAACAGCAAAAATAATAAAATATTGTCAAATTTACAATTTGTGTTATTTGAGTAACAATTGTTGTTACTCAAAATGAGTAACTAGGGCTAGCCCTTTTTGTAATTGTGACAAAATTCAGATTGAAACTAAAGAAATTCTTGGGAAAATGCAGAAGAACAAAGGAATAAAAAAGAAATAGATAGAACTTAGTGTTGGAAATCTATGACCTAAATACAATTATGTATGTGTACTATTCAGTTATGATTGTATTTATATGCTATTATATACACATAATCAAGCAGGGATTATGATTTATCGATTAATTTGATATGAAGATCAAAGTTTATAGTAGAAATTAATTGTAACAAGTGGTATCATGCATGAGCCTACTTCGTATTGAATTAGTTGGGTTTTATGATTGTTGATTTTGGCTAATTTGTAATATGCAATTTGATTTTAATAATGATCATGGATATGTGTTTTGTGTTTTTGTGAAATTAATTTAACTTCAATTGTTGTTTCGTTGATTCGCGTTGACATCTATTATCATTGCAACTTCCTGTCATTATCTTCTCTAATTAAGAATTAAATTAGTAAAACAGTACAACAATTGTGAAAGTGTGAAACGAAGCTCGTATAACTTTTTAAATTCTTTGTAAGAACAACGAATTAAGAAGTAAGAACTCTTGTGTCTAAGGAATATTCTTTTTCATAGTATTATGCTAGAGTATCAAAGAAAATTCTTAAGATTCTTAGGGCAATTATATTCAACATACGATACCAAATTAGAATAGCCATTTCATAATGTTTCAATTTTCAGAACACGAAGTACCAACATTTATTATGTTTTCATCGTGACTAGATTTCTAATACATATCTAGAACAAAAGGTCATCTTAAACGTCTTAGAATTCTATACTAATTTATGTAAATTTGAGGGCTCAAAATTGTAACATATGCAATATATAATTTTTAATAGAATTAACCCTTTAATTAACATACTTATAATCTTTGAAAGCCTTGTAAGATACGAAATTACGAAGCCAAGAGGAGATTTTACCCACCCTCTGACCCTCGTTGCATACGAAGTATCTACTAACACCCTTAACTACACAAGTTAATACTACTTAATAGAGTACACTACACTTTACATCTTCAAAACGGTACATTGCCCTTTTTGCTTTTTCCCCACAAAAGATTTAAAGGGCTCCATCAGATATTGAAGGACCGTTAAAAGTAAGCAACTTGACTAGTCGAGCATTTTTTTTTTTTTTTTTTTTTTTCTGTTTACTAAACCACTCACACACTCAATTACATAAGAGTACAAAGTAGTAGTCATTAATTCATTACTTCGTATTAATTAATTTAAGACATCTTAAAAAGAAAAACGTGGCAATCAACATGGTCTATCTAATTTAAAATAATTAATCCTTAATTTTCACTAAATTATGTTCAGAAATCATTGAAGTAAAGAGCAAAATCAACTGTATTTCCAGATAAAAGGCACTAATTGTAACTTCATATTCAACTCTGCTAAATTTATAATCATGTACTAGTATGTCCAATCCAGAACACATCTCAATTTACAAATCATTCTCTAATAATGATAATCTGATCGTAAATTTGTAATTACATACACTAAACATAAATAAATTAAGATAATAACTCTCAAAATCTACATTGATTTCGCCAATTTCGACAAAAATCAAACCCTAGAAAATAAAATTAATTTCATCAGTCAACTCCAATTGACAGTGTGAGTAGAAACGACGGCGTTTTTGTTGGCCTTAACAGGAGAAGGAGGAAGCCTAGAGGAGAAATCACGAAGAGGAAACTCATCGAGGTGCGAATCATCATCTTCAAAATTAAGCGCGTAACTCAACGGATCATACCTGAACTCAGTCGAATTAGATCGGCGATTTTTTCCAGAAAACACATGAGAACAAACCTCTTTGATTACAGGAAGCTCAGATTTCAACCAAGACGACAATGTATTCGGCTTTTTCTCGGAATGTTCTAGACTCTTCTGGACGGAGATGTCGTCTTCTTCGGCGTCGCAGCAGGTGGCGCAGACGAAGAGCTTGATCTTCTGCTTGAGTGAAAGCGAGTGTTTCTTGTCGAACTCCATTGAAACTGTTGAACCAATGAATTGAATGAACAATGAAGGAATTTGTGGGTTTGAGATTTGGGGGAGAGAGAAATGGTGTGAAGTTATGGAGTGTTGTAGAAAGAAGAAGGGGAATATATAGAAGTTTGGAGAGAGAAAATAAAGAAGAAGGAGGATAAGGTTAGGGTGGGGCCCATGTAAGTTGAGTGTGTGTAAGGATGATGTGTAAAAGGTGTGCGTTGCGCGGATTTTGGTTGACGCATCGTGACTTCACGTGGATGGCGACGATGCACCCATTGTTTTTAAACTTCTTAATTTGTGGACTAATACAAGTATTCAGTCTTGAACTTTTAATAAGGATATATATGAGAGAGTATAAGATGATTTTTAGCATGAGATAACTTGTATGGATTACGAAATAGAATTGAATTAGATCATACTTGTATATTAATATTATTAAGTAGTCCAGTTCCTATCA